ACATTACAAGGTTCTCTTTTAAAAGAAGGATACATTTGATCAAAATGTCTCCATGCTTCTAATTGTGCTAGATGAATGACCTCATCCGTATCACCACAACATTTCAAATGCCATGTCATGTGCTCAGCTATTTTTCGAGACATGTATAGCCTCTGAAGGCAAGGTATTATTGGCAAGAACCATAGAGAATTCCCCGTAATGTCCTTTTGTCTTTGCCTCCCTGGATTTCTCTGTTTATACCTCGCTTCTCCACAAATTGGACATGTAGTCAATGTTTTTGTATGCTCCCCATAGTATAAAAAGCAATTGTTAACACAAGTATCAATTTTTAGATAACCTAACCCAAGCCCTTTCATATGTTTTTTTACTTCATAAAAGTTTGCAGGAATTTTTTCTTGATCTTCAACACTTGACAACCTCCTACATCCTTTGAGAATGTCATTAAAACCATTAGCAGTTATATTATTTGCAGTCTTTGTATGCAACATATAAGAGAGCCAGCTAAGCCTTGTCTCATTTCTTTTAGAACTACCAAGTGGAATTGTAGATGCATGAACCAAGTCATAAAATGCCTTTGCTTGATTGTTTGGTTCCTCGTCCAGATGTTGATTGGGGAAATTACCTTCCATTTCCCAATTATCATCATCTTCTAGACAAAATGCATCATACACCATTTCACGAAAGTCATTCCTTTCATCATGGTGTATATCTTGGCTGTGTGATGCTTCTCCCAAATTAGTAGCAGACTATGGATCTGCTGAATTCACAAATGTCTCACCATGCGCCCACCAAACAGAATAAGCATTCATAAAACCATACTTAGTAAGATGGTCCTATACCATTTCCCGAGTCATCAATGGTAAATTAAAGCATTTAGTACAATGATATCTAATTAAATCATTCGGTTGAAGACCAAGGCTATTGTATGCAAATTGACGAAAATATTCAACTCCATTATAGAACTCATTTTATGTCTCTCCTCGTGGAGTTTGATGCCTATACATCCAACTATGATCCTCCATAATCTTATTAAATGAATAAAATAAAAATAATAACATGATTAGTTTCAAAATAATTATGATATATTTCACATATTTTATAGTTGCTTAAAACCCTAATTTATCATACATATATATAAATATGTTAAATTTAATCATCAACAAAATTTATCATACACAAATGATTAATTTTTTATTTAATAAAAAAATTAATATTTAACCATACAATTATAAAAATATAGTGAAAATGAAACTTATTGTGTAATTAACGAGAATCCACAAGAGCGCAACTATTAACCTACAAAATAATTATTAAAATATTAATTTATATATATTTTCAATTAAAAATTTCTTTATACATTCCATTAAATTATAAAAATTACATTTAAAATTAACATAATACAACTTAAAATAGATACAATAACAAAATAAGATCAATTATTAAATTGTTAAGAAGTTAAGTTGAAATACCAAATTTAGTCCCTAATATTTTAGATATTTATATCAAAATTATCCTAAACATTAAAAAGACCAAAACTATCCCTGAACTTTAATATATAATACCAAAATAGTACCTATCTCAACGAAAAGTGTTACTTGATTCATCATTTTGCCATAAAATCAATTTCTTTTTCAAAAATTAATAAAATAAAATCAAATAATTATATTTTACTATCATGATATATTTTTCTAATTATATTTATAAAGTTGACTAAATAAATTGGTACTTGTAATCAAAGTTTTAAGCTCTAAGTCTTCAAAATTTAAGGACTAAATTGGTACTAAATAAAAGTTCAGGGATTATTTTGGTTCCAAAAATTAAAGTTTAAGTTTAAGGACATTTTTAGTACTTTTAAAGTTTTAGCATAATTTTGACCTAAATTAGAAAGTTGAGGGACTAAAATGGTTATTTTACCAAAAAATTTAGGTCCTTCAACTTTAAAGTTTACATACTTTTGGTCCCTCAACTTTTTTAATATTTTTTTTAATCTTCAACTATGAAAAATACAATGTTTTATATAGTTAATTAAGAGATAAAAAATGCAAAAAATGGTAAGACATGAAAATTTGCGTAAAACCTTCAAAACGCACAAAAATCATATTGACCCTAAAATATACTCAAAATAACAAATCTGAAAATGCTAGTTAATATCAAATACTTAATATAAAAATTTTGTCATTAATGGTTGAAATTTCACTAAAAATTTATTAAAACATTATTCATAACTATTGTTTCCCCAAAAATCCTCAACCGACCTTTACCACGTGTGTTTGGTTATTAGGCGTGCCACTTGCTTTGTTTAAAAACAAAAAAACTGGATTTTCCAGACGACCCTTCTCCTTTCCAACGGTCGACCTCCAATAGGATGGCTGGAAAGAACGTCTGTGAAATGATTTGCGCCCCAGACGATGTTGCAAAACAGAGGGTAAAGTTCCACAAAATGGGTTACTAATTGCCTTGGAAACCTCTAAGGACTTCACAACCAAACAAGTGTAATAAAAGCTACAAATCCTAAAATAAATGCAATATCCTAAGGCAATTAAACTGACATGAAGTAAATAACAGAAAATAACATGCCATAAAGATTAAATTCGCAGATAGTAGAAAAAGTAAAATAACAGACAATGATTTCAACTACGCAGCCCATAATGATTAAACTAATTACTGGCAGAATTAAAATCAAAATAGCTAAACTACTTGATAAGTAAAACTGAAGAAGAAACTATGAAATGATTAAAGTCTGGAAACTTATAAAATTAAATCTGAAAATTGAAATTAAATAAACTGCATGTTTGAATATTGTGCAGAGACAAAAGAACAAAGGTAGAAAACGTTCAACCTATTTACATGAACGAATAACATAACTAAATCCATAAAAGGAAGAAGAACTAACCAAATCAAAAGGGCAGACCTGTTTTGAAGGCTAAATTGCTTCCAAATGCTTAAAAATTAATCTAAATTGGAATTTGCGAAAGAAAATATGAACAAAGATTAACAAACCTAGGCTAAGGCTATGAACAAGAGTAGATCTTGCAAACTAATCTGGAAAATCTGGAAACTATTGCTGAAATCTGGAAAATACAGCCTGAAAGTTGAAAAACATGCTTTGGGCAGTGTATGTGTGTTGGGTAGGCCTCTGAAACTGTTCTCTTCTCTCTGTATTTATTTTCTTCAATGGTGGGAACTTCCTCCATGATTTTCGGTACTGTTCCTCCATGATTTGGTAGGGGGATTGCATGTCTGGCAATTGTTTGACAATTTTTCGATAATTTTTATTTAACATTATCTCCCACAAAATCTTAAAGATAACCTCCTCCTAAAAACTCTCAACTTTCTAACTTAAATCAAACTCAAATACCAGAAATTATCTTATCTTCTGCCACCTAAAATCTAGCCTCCTTGAAAATCCGTCTGGGCCATTAAATTGTAAGCCAACCCAGCCCAGCCCAAATCCAGCCTATTGATTTTCTTGATAATTGAGCTTTACCTTGACACGTGGCCTTCTCTCATTGGTTTTTTTTAGGTGTAAACAATGCCCCCCAACACTTGGTTTTATGGGAATAAATCCAAGTGTTTAAATTTTAAATTACCTCTCAGACTCCAAAGGCCACATGCAAAATCTGCAAAATCCCAAGATGATTGCAACAGGCATTCCCAACTTTTTCACAGCTAACTTTGTCTGAGCACATCCAGCCATCCACAGCCAATCATGGCCGCTTGATCAATCTTTCTCTCATTCAAAGTGAAGTAAATGAAAGAAACCCAATTTAATTATGCACAAGAAGAAGTGTGAACCTGGCTCAGACAACTTCTTGGGACTCCATTCCTTTTACCTCCCAAACTGTGGGGTAATAAGGCTTGAGATAAATTCCATTGATTTTTCTAGGATGAAGCTCTCCATCAAGTGACTCTAACCAATAAGCACCCCCTCTCAACACTTCATGAATTCGAAATGGTCTTTCCCAATTTGGGGACCACTTCCCAAATCTGTGATCTTTCTTGCCAAGAGGTAAAATTGCTTTCTAGACTAAGTCACCAACTGCCAGATTTTTACCTTTCACTCTCTTGTTGTAAGATTTTGCAATTTTGAGCTTTTGAGCTTGCAATCTATCCAAAGCTGTCAAACATGTGTCTTCAAGGTCCTCAAGCTCAAGCATCATGGCCTCATCATATTCCCCAGACTGGAGATTATGTTGAATCACTATTCTTAAAGACCTAGCTATTAACTCCATTAACAAGACTGCATCGTGGCCACATGTCAAAGCAAAATGTGTCATTTTGGTTGAACTCCTTTGTGAAGTTCTATAAGCCCACAGTGTTTCAAACAATAGTTCATGCCAGCGTCTGGGGTTGTCATCCACCATTTTTTCAAGCAAATTAATTACCACCTTATTAGAAGCCTCCGCTTGCCCATTAGCTTGTACATAATGAGGAGTAGAATTAACAGACGAAACCCATTTCCTTTGCAAATGCCTCCACTTGATGGCTGACAAAAACTTTGCCTTGGTCTGTTGTAATTGTTTCTGGCAGACCAAATTTGTGAATAATATCCTCTTTGATGAACTTGATTACATCAGATTGATCTACCTTCTTCATTGGTTTAGCTTCCACCCATTTGGTAAAATAATCCGTTGCCACTATAATAAATGAATGACCTTTTGATAAAAGGGGGTACACCTTACCAATCAAGTCAATAGCCCAGCCTCGAAATGGCCACGGTTTCACAATAGAATTAAGTTCAGAGGCTGGAACTCTTTGAAGTGGCCCATGGATCTGACAAGATTTGCAGCCCTTAGCATAAGCAATACAGTCTTTCAGGACAGATGGCCAGAAGAAACCATGTCTGCGAATCAGCCAGCGCATCTTGATCCCAACTTGGTGTGCACCACAAATCCCATCATGGACATCAGACAACATTTGGAAACTTTCATCTGGACCCAGACAACGCAGCAGTAGTTCATCATAGCCTCTCCTATAAAGCACATCCTCAATCAAGACATAATTGAGAGCTTGCATTTTGGTTTTCCTAGATACCTTAGTGTCATAACTCAAATTTTAATAGAATTTTATTTTTATTTTAACTAATATATTTTGTCTTTGTTTTACTTGTTAGGTTCATTCAAAACATGGGGGCAAAAAGGAAATTTTACGAAGAAGATTGGAAAAGAAGATGAGAGAAAGGACTCAATTGAAGAAATGGAAAGTTGGAGAGGTGAAATGCAAAGTCCAGCCCAAAACCCATCAAACCCAAACCAAAACCCAAATTCAAATCCAATTACCCAAAAAGCCCAAAATCCCAAAACCCATCTAACCCAATCCCACCAAAATCAAACCCAAAAAACAAAACAAAAGGGGGGGTAGGCATCGGGAACTTTCTCCTTCCCCCATCAATTTTTTTCACTTTCCTTCTCCCTGCCCTGCACAGAACCTGCGCACCAGCTCCCGCACCAGATTCCCTCACCCCAGCGCCCTGAGCCCGCGCCTCACGCCCTGCGCCCTGCGGCCCGAACCCAGGTCCCCTGCACGCCCGAGCCCTGCTCTGCACCAGATCGCCTGCACTCTGCTTGCCCTGCTGCGCCCCACTGCCGGCAATGATGCCCCTGCACACCGAGCCTGCACTCTCCCCTCTGCGCGCCTGATCCTGCAATCACGCCCCTGTTGCTTGCACGCCAGTCACTGCTGCTGCACCGCGCCTGCACTCCTGCTCGCTACAGTACATGCCAGACGAAATCTTCATCATTACTGATTGACAGGAGCAAGTCTTTTTATTTATTTTATTTTTTTATTTGGGTATATATATATGGAAAAAAATCAGAAGCGGGGGGGAGAAGGTTAGAGAGTTTTTGAAGTTTGATTGAGAGGAAGGGTCTGTGGTTGATTGATATTTGGAGTTTGATTTTGAGTGGATTTTGGAGCTCGATTTTTGTATCCGGAGGTTGACGGAGGGCTTATTTGCTGTGTCTGCTTCTGTTTAGGTAAATCTTCGAA